ATGCCCCAACTTTTGCCGTGAGGGCCTGATACCCCTCCATCCCCTTTATGTTGTCTCGCCCGTAGTTGTCTTACAACAGCCCTATAGTCTGCTTTTCCCCCGCTGCTTTTTCAGGCACGGTATTCATTAGTTTGCGCGTCATCCGGCAGGATGGTCACTTCGCACCGACAGCAGAAAGATGAAGCACAGATCTACAAAATAAACGAAAATCACTCATCACACACAAATCTACTACTATCAAACACGAGCCACTGGATGTTAATAAATGGAAGAGAACAGTTAATAAGAATTCCGATGTCAACTGTCGAAATTAAGAAATAAAAGTCAGTGACGATAACAAGCATATACAGAGAATCGCATAACACGAAGGCCTATATTTCTAATCCGCGACCCCACCGCCTGCGCGGGTTGTGACGATACTGGGCGCGCTGCGGGCAGCACACGATAAACGCCAGAAGGGTTTTTAAGGGCAAGCACAACATAGTTCAAACGCGACGGGCCCCGTTATAAGTGGCAAAGGTAGTCCAAGATTAACACAGAGATAAATACGAATACAGAAGAAACCGATTACCGCAACAGTGCTAAAGATCTGGTGGCGCTCCGGCATCTAACTAGTAATTATTTCTTAAAATGCATATTTAATCCACGTGAAGCCAGGTATGCCAGAGATTGTGGTCGGCCTGACACCACCCGTCAGAGTCTGAGAGGTCAGCTTGAGCTTTCACTTTACATACAACTCGCGTTCTATGCAGACACATACGTGTCTCACATCGTGGTGAATGAGCACATCAATTCTGTGTTGTGTTACGCCCAGTACAACAGGATTAGTAGTCTCCGTCAGATAACACAGCAAATTATATGAAATCCGTAATAGCCTAGACAAAGTACGATAATTGTATCTCTGGCAAGCGTAACTGTGGCGACTTTGAGTGGAATAGCGAAACCTTCGACGAAAAACGCATCGATCACCGAAAGCATAATTTTTCCACTTAATTGAACAAGCGCACTCCATTGGTCCCCATGTCTACCAATATTATAGATCTCTAACTGTTAATTAACTAATATTGTGAAGGAACACTAATCAATGCAAGTCTCGCGATTCTTCTCATAGGTCCTGATTCTATGAATCTGCCCGTGGCGACAATTTCTCGCTTCCTGCGTAGCGAACGGCAGGCACAATGTCTTGGACATACGGCACGGGCCGGGGATGCCGTCATTCGTCTGCGTGTGTTCGCGGCCGCTTCCACGGGATGCAGTGCGAACATCTCTAGGACCTGAGAGCGCACTCGGCATCTCAGCGAATGCAGCCGTTCCCGTCCGTGCAAACGATAATGGCGCGTGATACTGTAACGGCTGCGGGGTCTTGCTTCTTCCTAATGCTGGCTTTGTCTTCTGCGACTGCCCGAAAGCGGAATTCACCGGACGTCAGCTGACGAAAAACAGTCTTTTAGGTAACGTTGCTAATATTGATTTAATAGGTGGGATAAGAGTACGCAACTAGCGCGCAGCGCACAACATCACACACACAAGCACACACACACAAATTCCGCGGCCAAACACAACACATAACACAAACAACAAAACACACAACACACACACACAGCACACACACAGTCACGCACGCGCGCGCGCAGAGCGACGACCACAAACACACACCAATCCCAGATCTCGGCGCCAGCCCACGGCCACACATCACCCACATCCACACAACACTTCCCGGGACTCCCACCACACAACACACACACACACAACACACACACACCCAGCAGCACGCACAAACACCTCAACATATATATAATACAGCACACGCATACACACACATACACGCACACTACGCCAGTCCGACACACATACATTCGCGCACACACACACATCACACACAAAACACACAAGACAACACACCACAACACAACCACAACACAACACACACACACGCGCCCGCTGCGCAGCGGCACGCAAACCACACTAGCCACACACAACACTCACACGCACGACAATACCCACGACACACACCTCGGCCCACACACACACACCACACACACACGTCCACACACCCACATAAGTATAATAACATACACACACGCATACACCACCATACACGCACACACACACATACACACTCACACCACGACGCACGCAGCGACACACACACAGCCACTAACAGCTGCCGGCCACGCACACACAACACACATGCACACACACACAGCCACACAACCCACACACACACGGCCGACCCACCACACACACCCACACACACCAGGCACCAACACACACACGCATCAGCACAAGGACACGAGCCACACATATATATATATAGTATAATTACCAAGACGATTCCACACACACATGACACGCAACAACACACAACATACACGCACACCACATCCACCTCGGCCAGCCCGGGCCGCTCCGCCCGCCGGCCGCACGCCACGCACGACCGCCGCCGCCGCCGCCGCCGCCGCACACAATAAATAAACATGTACATACACCTTTATCTCACACTCTCTACTCCTACCCCCCCCCCTTTTACCACCATCACCACCGCCGCCGCCGCACACAATAAATAAACATGTACACCTTTATCTCACACTCTCTATCTAACCCCCTCTCTTACCACCATCACCACCGCCGCCGCCGCTATTATACACCTCTACCCAACCATGAGAACGAAAGCTCTCTGCGCACGATCAACAGGCGCCTGTATATACCTATAGCTCCTACTTACAGAACGACAGCAGTGTAGCCACGAGCAATGCACGGGTGTTCATAATGGGTCGCGAGAGCCAACGTCTTGCACTCGCTGCAGGCGCGATGATTCTCGTTGTTACCGTAGACTAACTAGCAGCAGACACAGCAGAAATTGCGACGTCGAGCACTCTCGTTTGCCGTCACATGGTCGGGTCTCGCAACGGTGATCGCATTGAATTAGGCGTCTGCTAATATTAGTGTAGGGGGCAGATAGTTCCGTCATCGCTAGACTCGCTTTCGGCGCTTGCCGTTGGGAGTACACAAGCTGCGTTTGCTGTCCGGTCGAGGGCGGGCTGGCTGTATTGGGTGTAATGGATAGCAAGTGCTAACGGTCATCAGTTATTTTTGGTAGGTTATTGCGACCTGTCGTGTCCTGTAGGTCGGAATATTGAGCGGAAGAACTGTCCTAATGCGCAAAGGTTTTATAGTGAATTCGTTTGCCAGAATCAGGACTGACAAGAACACACAACGTTTTATGATATTACGATGTTACAAGATGTTACAAGATGTTACGATGTCTATATGATTTTGAAACGTTCTGAAGCCCCTACCCGCCACCATCACACATATAATTGACAAGAATGTATATATATATATATATATATATATATACTGTATGCTTTCCATTAGTTCATTAAATACTCGGAAACATTTGTAAGGTTCCACGACTCTTTCGAACTTGAGTAAAGACAAGTTTGTTGGCTTTGCCTTTAGCGAGAAAATCATATATACACTGGTGTAGTTACAATAAGTGCATGGTCGCCGCTACGTTTTGAAACGTGTCCACAAGCCCTCATTCACCAGGGTTATTCGTTGGGTAGTCATCTGTCAGTCGGGTACCGTGCGTCTAAACATCTATCTAGCCTAATGGGATTCAGAGAAACCGTAACAGTCGTTTCCAGGCAGGAAAACGTGAGGTAACTTGGTTCGGTAAACAACATGATAACACCAAGTACTGCCTCCTGTGTGTGTGTGTGTGTTTGTGTGTATGTGTGTGTGTTGGCGCGAATGTGTGTGTGTGTGTGTGTGTGTGTGTGTGTGTGTGTGTGCACGCGCGTGTGCAGTTACTTATCCACCTATTAAATAATATACAACTTACCTAAGCTGTTTTCACAGTGACGTCCGGTGAATCCGCTCGGGCAGTCGCAGAAGACAAAGCCAGCATAGAAGAAGCAAACCCCGCCGTTCAGACACGCGCCATTATCGTTGCACGACGGGAACGGCTGATTTGCTGATGCCAGTGCGCTCAGTCCAAGAGACTGGTCGCACTGCATCCCCGTGAAGCCGCCGCGACACACGCAGACGAACGCATCCCGGCCCGTGCCTATGTCCAAACATGTGCCTCCGTTCGCACAGGAAGCAGAAATGTCGCACGGAGATTCATAGAACAGGCCTATGAGGAAGAATCGCAGTTGCATTGATTAGTGTTCCTTCACAATATTAGTTAAATTAAAGTAAATTAAATATTGGAGACATGGAAATGGATTCGCTTGTTCAATTAAGTGGAAAATATGCTTCGTGATCATGCGTTCGTCAAGTTCGCTATTACCATCTCGAAAGTCGCACAGTTATACGCTGCAGAGATACAATTTCGTACTTGTCTAGGATATATACGGATTTTATATAATGCTGAGTTATCGACGAGATACTAATCCTTTGTACTGGCGTAAAACAACACAGAATTGAGGCTCATCACACGATGTGAGTACACGTATGTGTCTGCAGAGAACGCGATGTATTAAGTAAAACAAGCCTGACCTCATCTGACGTGGTTCAGTCGACCTCAATCTCGGAGCATACCTGCTTACGTGATTAAATATGCATTTAAGAAAAAATACTAGTTAAATGCCGAGGCCACTCAGACGTTACACTGTTGGTAATCGGTTTCTCTGATCGATTATCTCGTGTAATCTTGGACTTAACCTTCACTTATAACGGGGCCGTCGCGTTGAACATGTGTTGCTTGCCCTTAAAACCTCTTCTGGCATTTTATGTGTGCGCCCGCAGCGCCCCAGTACGTCACAACGCGCAGGGTCGCGATAAATATAGCCTTCGTGTTATGGATCTCTTATATCTGTTATGTCACTGACTTTATTTCTTAATTTCGACAGTTGACATCGGAATTTCTTATTAACTGTTTCTTCCATGTTATTAATCAGTGGCTCGTGTTTTGTGTAGTGATTTGTGATGAGTGATTTCGTTTATTTTGTGCGTGCTCACTCTCTGTGGTCGCGTGACCACCGCCGATGACAAACTAATGGAATACCTGCTGAAAAGCAGGGGAAAAGCAAACTATAGGCGTTGTAAGACAACTACGGGAGACAACCAAGGGGATGGAGGGGGTATATGGCTCAGGCAAAAGTTGGCATCAGACCTGGCAGAACCTCCCGTCGGCCGGCGTACTGACGGTCGTATCATACGCATCCTTATTTCGAACTGGTTACGGAATAAACGCCGGCCCTCCTCCGGCGAAAATCATTGGGTTTCTTCGGCGCACCCGTACCTCTCGCAGCAATAGCGCTCCTGTTTCGCGACGACACCTACTTGTTTCGCAGTTTCGTCCGCTGAAGCCATCCTCACACGAGCAGAAGTAGTTGATAGAGCCCAGCCGGCGACATGATCCTCCGTTGAGACAGGGCTGAGATGCGCAGAGATTTCCGGCCGCCGTCGCCACCGCTACGCGATCAATAAACGTGTACACCGTTATCTCACACTTTCTATCTAACCTTCCCCCCTTTTACCACCATCACCACCGCCGCCGCCGCCGCCGCCGCACACAATAAATAAACATGTACATACACCTTTATCTCACACTCTCTATCTAACCCCCTCTCTTACCACCATCACCACCGCCGCCGCCGCTAT